ATGTAAATGAAAGCTCAATTTTAACCTTCAAGGCACTAGCTCAATAGCTTCAATATCATTTAAAATGTTATCTATAAATCTTGATTCGCCAGTTACATATTGCAAATAACTTTGAGAAAATGCGAAAAAACTCACACTATAAGAGTGTTTGGTTTATCTCATTTTTAAGTAATTTTGTCATGTTGGATACAATTTAAATACGAGGAATTTTTGTTTTCCTAAAACACTAAAATAATTTTTAAAAGTAATCTCAAGTACCTCCTTGGAATCTGATAACAACACTCAAAACACCTCTCATTCACGTGAGGCATAGAGGGACAGTGCATATCTCAATCAGTTTTCTCTCCGTATTTTTTGTAATAAATAATAATTAAAGGGAGTTAAAGTTGTTTGTATTTTTGTTCTATTTTTAGTGTGCTATAGTGTAACACTCCACGCAACCTTCTGTTCATTGTATGAAGTGTCCTAATAACATTAATGTTAATTTATTGGAGTTCTCTCTAAGCTCACACTATCCACACAGCCCTCCTTTGATCCTTTTTCACCTCTGTCGAATCTCATATATATCCTTTATCTTCCAAGTTATTATCTACTGCCATTCTTTTTATAAAATACAAATAATTGAATTGCATAAATTAAAATATTAATTAAAAACAATAAATATGTAAAGAACGTAATTTATTTAAAACAATAAATATGTAAAGAACGTAGTTTATTTTTTTTTATAAAAATACCTTATGTATGGGAAAAGTATGAGTGGGATCATCTATACAGCAAGACTAATCAATAATTAATAGGGATAATGATAAAAAAATTGATACTAAAAATTTCAGATGCTTTTATCGGAGTTTGTTGTAAATGAAAACAAACAACCTCCCAAATTGATGTAAATCGATGTACTCCTAATATGAGAATTTTATTGGGCATAATTGTTATAAAGTTTTAGAAATGGAACATAATTGCAAAAATATTCCAAATAACACAAAACAACTTGTATGATAAGTTTCAGAATAGAAAATAACAACTTTTTACTTGTTATTAAAACTTTTTAATAATTTGTCTCTTTCTTAAGATTTTATAATAATTCTTCAATTTTATTAGCGAATAATTTGTGAAGTATATCTCTTTCGTTCAATTTTTTATAATTGTAAGTGCATTCATCATATATTAGAATTTTCCAACGTTGATATGTGATAAATGGTAGTGGCTTTATTTCCTAAATTTACTTTGTAAAATCAATGCATCATATCCCATGTGAGATGATTCTCTCTAGGGGTGGTTTGGCAACCTCCAAACTATGGTTTCAGAAGTATTTTTTCATAAAACGAGGCAAATTCCTTTACATATTTATTTAGAAAGACTAGGTGGATGAAAGAGAGAGAGAAAGAAAGATGGGTTTGCTAAGAACCCACCACTTTCTCTTTCTCTCTCTATCCTATTCCATGTTAATCAAGAAAGAATCCAAATCCCTATTTTTATTTAACATGTTTCATGCTTTCTCTCTCTTTTTAGGATTATATTATTTTTGTAATTTAAATATTCTTTATTTTGAATTGCTAAAATTTAAAATAGAATTTTAATTGTGGCAAAAAATATAATTTTTAATTATTGACAGAAGATTAATTTTGAATCAAAACTTTATAAATAATCATTAACATTTGATATAGCATGGTATGTAACTTCTTTCATTAAAACATCAATAAAAAAAAAAAATAAAACTCTCTCACACTCACGTATTGAAATTTATACATGGACTAAAATTAAATTGAATAAGCAAAATGTATGATAATTCAAACAAATTAGAATGTTTCGAATTAGCAAATTATTCATAGACATGAGAAGAATAATCCTTAATCTTATAAGGATTACAACAAATTAAAGATACATGTCTTATAATCGAAAGTACAATGCAACAACTAATTCAAGTTGGTGTAAATGGTATAGACTCTTGTCCCTTAAATAAATGGTTAGGCTCTAAATACTCGTTTTTGTGTAATAAAACAAACAAAATTGCCGTTTCCCCCATACCGTCTGTACATTGAGAGAGATTAGTCATTGGTGCTGGTTTAGAGTTACTCTTGATTCTACCCAAAAAAAAAAAAATACAGTACAATATGTTTTTCTTGTTATTTAATGTGAAAGTCAATGGTTTAGAGTGTGTATAAATTTAGTTTTTTTTTGTGTGTATCTTTAATTAAGCCGTGATTCCCTACTTTTTTATTTATTATTTATCAAAATATATATGATTAATTTGCAATCTAGATTTAAGTAAATTAAAAATTGTCAATATATCAATAACACTCCTTTGGTCATATTTATCACGTAAAGAGAGAAGGTTTTTCTTGATCTTTTTTATAAGTTACTATATAAAATTTTTAATATGAATGTACTATTTTATTTTTTATTTATTATAATGCAGATAGCTATTTTTTCAAAAATATATATATTAAATAGGAGCAAAGTTGAAAAATTGATATACTTTAAAGAGAGTTAATAGATTTTAAGATTTTTCTTAGTCTGTATAAAATATACTGAAAATGATTTATAAATAAGACCAGAGTAGTATATACATAATTTATAACAAATGCATAATCCATAACAATAAAAACATTATGTCTTATTTTTCAGATTCAATGTAAATGTATTGGAAAAGGTGTCTAATTAATGCTAGAAAAAGATAAATGAAATCTAATGAAGACTAAGTTGGATTGGCCTGATCTAGTAGATTTAATTATGGATTCTCTATAAAATCAAGAAACAAATACATTTGATGCAGTTATTAATTTTCAATACATCCATTTCTTTCCTTATACAGGTGCTACTAAAATTCGATCTCAGTTGATTTGTCAAACTAGTGAACCGGTAACCCAAATCTTTAATTGCTCTAATAAAAAAGTTTTAAATGAGTTGATCCAAATGAATTTTATATTTTTCTCTCATTGCTTAGCTTGAGAAAAGGCCACTTTGAGTTAAAGAAAAAAGGGAAGAAATATTAAAGTATATATTTAGTCCTTTATATCTGCATTATGTTTTAATTAGTTTAGTCCCTTAAGTTTATAAAGTGTATTTTCAATCCTATCATATTAACATTGTTAACTTTTATTAACGAAAAATGCTGACATGGCGAATTTAGTGCTGACTCAATAATAAAATGCTTATAAGGCATAATTAATTTTTCCATACTTAAATTTTAATTCTTTCATATAATTATTTCTTATATTTCATTGCCGACAAGGGGTGCCTCACAAGAAGAGAACAATGAAACCCTAAATTAACAGAAGGACCTAATTCTAAGTTAAGAAAAGCATGCAACATCGATAGGAGTAAGGGTTATGGGTTGAAGAAAAAGCAAGGAGCAGTCGTGGTTAAGGAGATAGGTGATTGAATATGGTCTTGTTTCATCCTGTCGACGCATAGAGCAAGATTGCAACCGTGTTAATGTTATAGGATTAAAAATGCACTTAAGGGACTAAATTGAAATTTAATGCAAACTTAAAGGATCAAACATATACTTTAGCCTAAAAAAGAAAAGAGTAAAAATGTCAGTCAACCGTGTTTGTCTAATTGTCTTTAACAATTCTGTTTTGTTAGATTATATGTGATATATGGATAAATGTTTTATTTACTTGTGGATTAATGCATGTCTTATTTAAATATTCTTTTTCATGGTTATATATAATAATTTTTTTTGTATATTTTAGTTAAATTAAATTAAATTAAATTATTTTGATTATGATTAGTTGACCGATTTTAAGACTACTAAAATTATTGCCTCGATTAGTACACATTACCTTGCACGTTAAACTCCAATTTTTCTCTTTGGCTGCAACTCTCTTTTTCACCTCTTTCACATTGCAAAGACAAAACCAAAATCTGGTTTTGATTTCTCTCTTGTTTCAAACCAAATCTGGTTTTTGACACTTTCCAGCAACTATATAATATGATCAAAATTAAAAGTGGCAAAAATAGCAAATCCTGATTGTCCTTTTATAGTTGGTTTCCGTTTTTTGGTTTCAAACCCAATCTGGTCTTCTACATTTTCCATCAACTATTCAAAAGGCTCCTCTAAAATTAAACAAAAACAAAAGTTTCTGAGAAAGGTTTATTCATGATTGTTTTCACAGGAAAATTTTGTGCTTGATGAGGGAGGGTTAAAAGTATTTAAGTTTTCATGAACAGAAATATATCCGGAATATCGAAATTAAAATTTTACTTAGTTTAAAATATACAAAATCTGAAATGATGATAATTTTTTTAACTATTACTCTTCAATAAATGAATTTAATTATTATTTGAAAACAAAAATACAAGTTCATATCCTAAAATGACATAACATATAATGTAATTGTTAAATCATATATATAGCCACAAAAGCACCGCTATCGCGATTTGTAGTCAATCAAAAGTCAAATAGAAGGGTTTGATCTCTCTTAATTAACTAAAAAAACTTATATATATATATATATTGTTGTTGGCGTAATTATTCATGCTTCTTATAAATATTGGATATTTTTTAAATTTTATATTTTATACAGATAAATCATTTATTTTTAATATTTATATTTGATATTTTTTATAAATTAATTGAATTGAATTTGTATACGGTAAAATAGTGTAGTCCGATCAGTTGCTGTAGCAAGTGTTTGTCATGATTCGTAATGATAATTTTTTTATTATATTGAAAGCTTTTGCAATTATTAATAACTGTAACAATAACATAGGTACAATTAAGAATTGTAATGATGTAACTAAGAAGACATACAAGAATACCACTGAACTCTTGACTGATTTCATAAAACTAAGGAGTTGCCAAAGTTCTTTGACCATTACATGATAGACACAGAAAATTATCTGAAGTTCATAATTGAAAAGACATGACACTAGAAATGTACACTTAAACTGAAATTGAAAATCTATAATTCACAACTCCTTAGTTATTTCAACAAGTAAAAGCACATCATTACTCAATCTTTGCTGGCACAGTTGAAATTGGAATTTGGCTATTCTTCAGTATCTTCCATATGAGCAGGTGAGTTAAGATCTATGTATCTAGCCCCAAAATTCGTGGCATTGGGAAAATGTACCTTCTTGTGCCTTCCAAGTCCTTGGCTAGACCCAAACACTTTAGAGCAGTGGGGGCACTTCAACACTGCTGGATCTTCAAGAACATCAGTATGATTCCCTATGTTACCATCATACTCATTTTCTTCATCAAATTCACCATCTACCTCCAATTGATCATGCTTGATAAACCTTTTATGGCTTGCTTTGTGCCCACCAAGTGCTTGGTAAGATCCAAAAATTTTCCTGCACATCTTGCATTCAAACCTTTCCCCCTGAGAGTAAACCTCCGCATATGAGTCTTCTTGTTCATTCTCATCCTTCAATTTTTGTTTCTTCTTGATCAATTCTTTGCCTTCAGGCCATTTCTCCTTGGAAAGTAACATGAGAGTCAAAGCAGCATTTATAGTTAAAAAGTATGAATCAAAGATCGAACCTGCATGGTTTGGACCGGCTTCATCAACCTTGGTCTTAGGCGGTGACATTAATGCTCTTGTTGCATCATCAATTTTACGGCTGCGCTTAGATCTCTTTCCGGTCATGTAAGATTGATCTGCTTCACTTCCTTGGTCATCACTGGGATTCGATAGTCTTGTTGCGAAGTCTTGATTCATGGAGTGAAAGTTATGTTCAGTATGTGATTTCATCATCATATGACTTTCTGGTGAAGAGAAGGAGATCGAACGCTGATGGGATAAGGATGAACCCCCATCAACACAGACTTCGGATATTTCTAAAGGGATATGATCTGCAATTGGGGTTATTGGAGCAGGCTTGGGAACGACGGGCAATTTCACAAAGTGGGACCTCATATGCCCTCCCATGGCTTTTCCGCTGGCGAAGCACTTTTTGCAGATTATACAAATCTTGCTTCCATTATTGCTGTTCTTTTTCCTCTCCATTGTTGCTTGTTAGAGGAAGAAAACTCGAAACGCTGATAATTTTGTCTCTCCTCTATTGTCTTTCTCTCTCTAGTTTGTGGTTGTTGAGAATTCTGTGTTTTACAAGAAGAACTTGATGGGGCTTTTTAAAAGCACTAGGTGACAAGCCTTCCTTAAGCGAAAAGAACAAAACTAGAAGGTATAGAATCACTCATGCTGTTACATTTCATCAACGTATTTGAGTACATTACTTCTGTTCTGAAACATTGCACATTTATCTGAGGAAATTTGGCATTAATTTTTTTAAAGAATCAGATTGTGCATTTACTTATCTTTTCATTTATTTTTATTTCTTAAAAGCAAAATATTAATAATATGAAATACAGAGTGAACGGTGAGAATTTAACATAATTTCTTTTGGAGTTTAGTAGTATCCGTGTCAGCTCGGATTTATCTTGACAAATCTTTTTTTTTTTTTTTTGAATTTGGCCAATTAAAGTAAGCAATTCATACCAAATTAAAATTGTTTATGAGAAAAATTTGTGCTATTTATCTCTAACATGATATCTAGTTTAAACTGATCTACCTTAGCCAATCTTTTGAATTTACAATTTTAATATTTTATTTCATTAACAGTCACTAATGAAAACGATTTGAATTTGTTTTCATGGTTTACTTAACTTATAGAATAATGGGTTGATTAAATATTCTATTGACTCATAGTTTCATTATAACAAAAATGGTTAAAGTGCAAAAATACTCATGAAGTATTTCCCCACGAGTAATTGGCATCATAAACTTTACCTGGATGCATCAATCCCTATGAACCTTCCTAAACAGAGCAAACTCCTATCTTGGTTAATTGCGGGTGACGTATGTTGCTTTAGTGTAGTGGGGCCCATTTGTTGGAGAAGTGTAAAGTTTGACTCTTTGACCATTAGAAATGTGGCATGTGGTAAAATTTAATTTCTTCTATTTTCCTCCATTAAACTTGACTACCTCCTCTAATCCAATTAGGCTTTATTGCAAAGCTATAATTGTCCATGGAAATGAGGAAGTAGCAAGAAGGCACTTATCGAAAGCAAGGTTGATAGTGTCTCCTCATCTTTAATGACATGAAGATACAGAAGAAGGATGGCTCTGATGAGGTAACCCAATCACAAGGATGATTATGAAGGTTTGAGGAGGTACTGCCATCATAGATTGTTAGAGCCACGATGATAACATGGGCAAAAAGCAACCCGATGAAAAGATTATATGACCATCATAACTACTACTAGGTAATAATAGTGGAAATCATAAATTGATGCAACTGTGAAGGGTGTGAGTATTGATTTTTAATGTTTCTAATATACATTAATCAAATAGGGGTTAAAGCTATTTCTCTTGGCACAATGGTGACTTTTGTGAGAGGAAAAATATTGTTATAAAGAGCTACTTCGAAGAGGAAATGATGGTCAGATGTTCTGTGAAGAGCTTAATGCAATAATGGTAAAGCGAGAAAGCTGAAAGACATATATGAGAACTATGCTTTATAATTTTGGTCAAGCTTGCCACGAGCCCATAGTTATCATTTAGAAAACTTCTTATCCTTTAAAATCTCTTTAGAGGGCTAATAGGGAGAAAAGCAAGACAAGAAAAACAAAGCTCTAATAACAGAACTATGGAAGCTTCAAATGGAAGGAGCTTTCAAAGGTTTAGGATAAGGCAGCATACAGAGGGTGTATGACAAGATTCTAAAGATAATTGGTATAGGGCTAATTACTAGTGACATGGATGGTGGACGTTTAGGTATGTTAGGGGAGTCTGTTGTGCCATGCTCTTTATCGTATTTGAACTTCTGGTCATGTACTTTGGCTTGAACTGGTGTACTAAGATTAGCTTAGAAAATGACATGTTTGAATTTTGTCATCCTCCATTGATGCACGCAATGATTCTAGAGAATATTTGCCTAGGTTGGGAGATCCTGAGTTTGATGGAGGAATCAGAAAATCTTGGCAAAGCTCTTGGCTCTGGGTGTTTTGAGTGGATTCCAAGAAGCAATCTAATTATATTCTTGTGTGCTTGCACAACTCTTATAGGAAAACGCTAGAAAGATTGGGTGTTACAACCCCTTTCTCCTTTAAATCTATTCTTGGTTGATGATTTGAGAAGCTAAGTTGGGAATTTTGATTCACGTGTTTTAGTTCTGTCCTTGCTTTAGTGTTTTTTTTTTTGGGCTTTTGATTTCTAGTGTAATAATGTCTCTTTCTAGGGGTTTGGAAGGTTATCTCTCTTTTTGTTTGTTTGCCTTGTTACTGGTTTTTGCCGTAATTAGAATTGACGCAAATAAGTTGTTAAATAGACAAGAAGATCATTATCAAATATCACTGCACTAACATCACTATGTATTCCTGTCCAATGGTGTGTTATAAAACACATTTGGAGGAGGGAAGAAGAAGGATCGACAACTCACCCCATCTATTGCCTTTAAGGCTTCATAACGCATGAAACCTGTGGGGTACGGCTTGGGATGTACATAAGAAGAAAGAAGAATGCTTCGCAAATTTTACAACCAAATTATATTTTGGTACTTTTCTTTTCATTTTCTACAATATCCCAATCATGACGCATCTAAATTGCAAACCATTTGCAAAGAGCTGCTCTTTACCAAACAACTATTTGTGCAACATTTGACCCCTTAAACCCAGCACTTAATCACAACACATCTTTTAAAGCACTATTACGGCCAAAAAAAAAGTTCATTCAAAAGTCTACTATAATAAAAAGAATAAATTCAAATTTAACAATGGTAGGAAAAAAAAAAGTACACAATTGAAATCACTACTGCGGTTAAAAGAACCAAATTTCTCTTTTTAGACTCTAACATGGTATTAAAAAAAAAACAATTACACATTAAACAATATCATGGTTAAAAGAAAACAAATCACCTCACAAGACTAACCATGGTAGAGAAATATTAGGACTACCACGAAACAATGTTATGGTTAGAAAAAGATAAACCCTCTTTACCACAACAAGATTTCAAGTATCACAACATTCACTATCAGAGATTAGAGTACAAAGAAAGGCCAAGGGTAAAATACCTAGCGCACAAATCCACCATAAACACATTGGGACCTAGGGCAAAATTTACTGCCCATAAGTCCACTACAAATCTACAATCATATAGGGATCCAAGGCATAAACACCCGCCCACAAGTCCACTACCATATCTAAACACAAAACTCATGGCCAATAACCTTTTTCCTGGATAATTCTATAATATGTTCCCAAAATAGTTAACCAATAGTGGATCTATACAAGTCACTTGCAACAATTTTTTTGGACTCAGGCCATGTAATAACACCCTCTCATTACAAAGTATTGCAATACAAAATAATTCTTCACAATTAACAATTTAGTGTATGCAATAGCCTACAAGGGAAATATATATCTCATACGCAAAAAGAATCAAACGGAAGCATACAAGGCAATTAAACGCCTACGTCGTAGCAGCCAAGAGAGTTAAAAAGGAGGGAAACTCAAATTAAGGAAAAAGTCACGTGTTAATCAATTATGAGGACTCCCAATGCAGAATGTATTACCCTTGTTGAGCAAATGAACAAGCACAGAATGTGATGGAAAGATCTAAAGTCAGCCTAGATGACTAAAAAGAGAAAGCAATCATACAACTATGCTTCAAATGCATAAAAAGAAAACAAGAGGAAAAATCAATTGCATTATGCAGCAAAGTCTAAAATTTCCAACAAGGAAAAATGAGGATTTTCCTATGGCATTTGAAGACTCTCTCCAAATCGTTTTTATCCCTGAGATCACCTTATAAAAGTAGTAATTGCTTAGATATAATAAACTCGAGCCCCATTTATGGCTTCCATTGAGGAGTTGTTGAAATTGTTGATAACGGAAACATTGAATTCCTGTTTGAGAATAATTTGCGGCCAATAACCCACTGACCCTCCCCGAGCAGATGAAGTTCTTGACTTCTCTCCTTACAATTGTTTTTTTTGATAAGGTCTCTCCTTACAATTGTGTATGCTCATCCTTCCTCTCAAGTTCAGCTTGCATCTTCCCTCAACAAATGGCCATGAAGATTGGCAATGGGATTAATAGGTACTAAACGAGTAGACCCAAATTACCTAAACAACACTATGTATTATTAACACTACATCACAATTACATCAGTCTGCAAAACCAATACTTATAGGCATAGGCCGAACTAGATACTTAACAGAATTTACAAGAAAGCCCAATAACTTAACTACCCAACTAAACCACAACACTGAATATGTTCAACACTCCCCCTCAAATTAGGAACTCTATATTCACAGGTTCCTAACTTGCTCAGAAGATATTTATGTTGTGGATCTCCAAGTGCTTTTATCAAGATATCTGCCAGTTGTTCTTTAGAGCTAACATGCTTGAACATTATCATTCCAGCTAAGAGCTTCTCTCTTACAAAGTGGCAGTCAATCTCTATATGCTTGGTCCTCTAATGGAAAATAGGATTTGTGGCTATATGAACGGCAGACTTGCTAGCACAATATACTTTTACAGGTTCAACACCATGAACATGTAATTCTTTCATTAGTCCCACAAGCCATGTGATCTCTACTATTGCCATTCTATGTACCCTGTACTCTGCCTTTGCTGAAGATATAGAAATGGTGCTCTGTCTCTTACATTTCCAGTAGACAAGAGAACCTCCAAACTTGATTAGAAACCCAGTCACGGACCTCCTTGAATCTGTGCAGCCTCCATGATCTGAATCGCAAAAGCATTCCAGGTCTAAAAAGCCATGGGATAAGATATATATGCCACGTCCTGGACTATCCTTAATGTACTTGACTAGCCACAATACTGCCTTCAAATGAGACTCCTTGGGTTCTTGCATAAATTGGCTTAATACCTGCACAATAAAAGAGATATCAGGTTTGGTTAAGGTTAAATATAAGAGCTTTCCAACAAGTCTTCTATGGACTCCAAAGTCTTCAATATAATGATCATGTTTTGTCTCTTGT